CACTGGCTGGTGGGACTGCCACCTCGCGGTCGCCGGGGTCCCTTCAGAGAGAACGAGACAACAAGCACACAAAAAGAACAGTCACACAATCAAACCAACAGCCACGACAGAGAAACACAGGCGAGACAAGGCATGACCCGACAGAGCGTACGGTTGCTTCGTCGACTGCCTCCTGGAAGCCGCAGTTCTTCGTGGGTAGCGCGACACAACTTTGCAAGGGAACTGGAAGATCTAACTGACTCAGGGCGCTGTGAGTTTAAAGACGTCTCAGATCAATGCCGTCAAATCTGTATTCTTGCTTTTTGAACACAGACGGCTGCCTTATTAATAAAATCCAGCTATTAACATAATTTCAAGTGAATATTTAACAGAATTTAGAACAAACGTATATCAACAGAACGTAAACAACACGTCGCCATAAATGCAATGCAAGCAAGTTTCCACGAACAGAATTACGTAAATGATTTCCAAGTAACTTCACGCAAATAACTGGCCTTAAATCATAAAATCTGTATCTAATCTGTTGGATTTGACGTGAACTGGTAAAACAAGTGCATGTTTGTTTAAACTTTTTCCAAACTGTCTATAGAATATTTTCGCCAAACCCTTTCCGATATATTGTCGGTCACACTAGGAGAATGTTTGTCGAAATCCTCTACGTTTTACAACGTAAATAATCGGTCGAATTTGGTATATTTGTGTCTCAACAAATGTATTAAAACACACTATCACTTTCCCAAATCATTTTTTTTTATTCACTGTCCTCCAACAAATTTCAGGTCATGCCTCCTATTTTATAAATTTATCTAATTAGTTTTATTTTACAAGAGCATAAACCCTAGTCAAATACTACTTAATTTTAAACAATATGCTTTATTTAGCGCGAGTCTTGGGACAAAGACCGACATTTACATTTACCAGCTACTCAAATTTCCTACATCTTTCGTCTCGTCTCAGCTAACAGTCTTCATAGTCACAAACAATGGCCACGATGAAAACAAATTTTGTGACGACTAAATTCACGCTGCTCCAAGTAGTTAGACCTCCAATTTTCAGCCCCTGTCCATTTTATGAACACGGGTTAAAGCAGGGAACATTCAGTGCGACGCCATGATCTCAAATGGTGTTTATAATTTCACAACAGCAAAGAATCAGCATGCCGAGTAATCGTGCGAAATGCACAAAAGTTATAAAAAGGAACGGCCATAAAAGAACTTCATATAACACACAGAAAAACGTGTACATTAATGATAAAAAGAGCGAAGTGTTACTTTTTTAGGTAGGGACGGATGAGGAGGGGTGTGGGAGTGCTTTATCAAAACCATTTATCACAAAGATAGCAAAACCAACACACATATTAGACACGTTTATATGAGTGATGGCGGTTAGGCTTTGTATGCTCCCACTGTTTGTACTGCGGCTTCAATAGCAAACTATATTCACGCAAAATTAACTCCTTGAATGTAAATCGACTGGAATGTTACATTCTGACTCGTTTTGTTTCGATTTAATCTCGCTGATAAACTTGTGTTGATTCGTGTTTTAAAACTTATACAATGCTTATGATATGTCCACAATTCGCTGACATGTGAGGAATGAATGTATGTTTTGCAACAAAAGTCACACAATGTGGGGGAAAGATGGTCTTTCGTAAATAAAGTTATCTATTTTGGACTATTACGATACGATAAGTCAGGTATAGAGTAACAAGAAAATAAATCCCTACGCTAAATATTTAAAATTATGATTGGACCTTGTCCATCGTCTAAATAAAACAAAAATATTTCGGAAGCTGAATTATGCTTCCTGAAGACGGAAGCAGAATCTAGCTTCTGAAACGTTGTAGTTTTTATAATGTTATAATTTACACAATGGACGAAGCCCAAAATGACAATTTTACGTATTATAACGCACCATAATCAAGAAACTTTTAACCCACATTACACACTCCACAGCTATGATATCCCTGTTACGTGTTCATTTCATGAAATCTGATCAAAGAACGCACAAAAACTGTAGACAAATAAATGCAGAGGGACGTAACGCTGATTTCCTTGCATCAGAGCCTAATGAAAAACTGGGATTTTTCATTAGATGTCCGTGTGTAATCCCCTTAATAACATATGATACAATTCACAGACTTTTATGAAACATGTTATGACCATTATGTCACACTCTACTCTCGTAATTTCTAATTTAATATCGGGAATAATTTCAACATAGTGCGCAGGCAAAGTTTTGAAGTGGGAGGGGCAGTAAAGCCACTTCATGTAGGGTTCTGAAGTACTGTGAGACACGATGTTCAAAAAATATATAACTTCCAATAAGGTATTCTTGTACAGTATAAAACAACATGGTGGCAGCGCGAAGTCTACATTCATTCCGCTTTGTATATTATGGTGACAACTAATGGATCCATTAGAATTACGCATGTGGAATTCTATACGAAGGCAGGTTACAAACACAATTACGGGTAATTCCATTTGAAATATTCTTTACATGTAAGATTACAGGTTATCACGGCGGTAAGTGTAAAGATGACTGTCTTCTGGAATGTCGTGTCGGGAAATTTAATATAGTCAGAATCTGGAGCAGACGAGAGTATGAACAGACCTGAATCTCTCGATTTTATGGTTATTAACCTACAGTTGTTGTTAACCTCACCATACAAACTTAAGTGCACTTGACTGAAAGGAGACTTTAAGATCCTGCCGTAACTTCTTATACTCAAGCATTTTATTTCAGTGGACAATTTGTCCAAGAAAGTCTTGAATTTCTTTCACATAAAAACGTAACTATGCAAAGCTTAAGATAAAATACATATTTAAACGTAAAAATACCAGTTCTAAAATTAAATTCGCTGACTGCATATACGCGAAACATAAGGCCTAAACTGTTTAGTCAAGAAAAATTCGTTTCCTTAGTACCGGAAGAGGCCAAAGCAAACGTACATGAGTCTGACAAAATATTCTACTTAAGTAAGAGTTATTCAGGAGTAAATATGGAAACAGTGGAATTTGCTACCAAGTTTGGGAAAATAACGAATGGAAGAGCCATATGTCGTTTTTGAGAAACGGGCCACACCTCCATTTATTTATGCTGTCATGAGCTCGGATTATACAGCGTCGAATATAAGGAAGATCTTTTGACTAATAAATTGGAAAGGATGTGTAATAAAGCAGTCGTGGCCTAATTTACGACACTATCCAGGCATTTTCCTAGAGGCACTGCAAGAAACCATGAATACCTCAGGAAGATTTGAACCAGGGACCTCCAGAATACGAAGAATAACTAAGCACTCAGCCGAAATATTCAGTACGTTTTGAAAGAAACGAATTAACTCATTAACACAAGATCTAAAGATCAACAGAAGTGTTTTTTTTTGTCAAAAAATGAGGCAAACCTTAAAAGTTACTCAAAAGAAGAATAATTCGAATAATTTATTACAAGGGGAAGAGTTAATGTAAGTGAATAAGAAGATGCTGGAAGGCATACAAAGAGAAAGGACAAGAACAAAAACGCACGAAAAGAGAAAGGTCAAAGGCATTCCGTACTTTATCAAAAAACTTTCTTCCGAAGTGAAATGAGTTTGGCCCCAAAATGGAGCCGTAATTTTTTTATTTATTGTATTAAGTTGAAGTTAAAAGCAAGAAAGCGGGACAAGAAAGAATCCAAACACATTTCTAGGTTGGCTTCGTATCTTCAAAAATCTTCGAAACGACGGAAAGACGGATGCGCTAAGAAAAACGCTACAGAAATTAGGTGCACAGTCTACACGGAGCCAGCCTCCAGCTCCTCACTTTGTAACGAATATCTGCACCTCACAAACCATGAGTACGTCAAGAGCGTGTCATAATTAATGAATTTCGATTTTAGGAAAATACGTCTTTAGCGTCAGAACGTAAATAAATAACTTACAGTACCGCTTTCTGAAAACAAATGTAGGTTAATCATTTATTTATTCTATTTCATGTGAGCGGATATAACTGACCACTTCTCAAACACATTATTTTTATATGAGCTATATATAGTTCGTCCCTTCTCTCTGTAAAACAGAATATTAGTAAAATGTTTAGATATATCTTATTTACACAAATATTGTGGGCAGTGGAGTCATACTCTTAAAAATAGCAAGCCGATGCACGATATAGGCACAATTTAACCTTCCGTCTAACCGTGGATCGAAAGCAAAATAAAATATCGGCTTCATCAGAACTGTTTGCTTTTATATATTTTTTTTAATTTTATGGTCGTGGGTGCGGTGGAGAGGAATGGAAATAAAGAGACGGCATACAATAAACCAACGAACGAGCACAACGAACACACAATGACGCACGCACGCACACACGAAGCAAATTAGTAAGTGAGCAAAATTTGTAATACTGTGAAACTACAGATTGATATTCACTTAATATCAATATCTAGTACACAAACGTCCTCGAGAAACTGGTAATCAGCTGATCAGAAGAATACCAGAAGGACTATTATCATGGTAACAAAAATCAAAAATTCATCAGTACTCTGTTCACGTCACCTCAATGCATATCACCACGATAAATATTAATTATATTATTTTTTTTATTTAGTGTTCTGTCTGACGACAGGTCCATATGAACAGGATCCTTCCATCCTTTTCTCGGACTGGGACCTGTTCATATACGTTCTTGGCAGATGATCCAGAAGTGGTTTGCCATTGCCTTCTTCTGTGTGTGAATGAAGTAATTGTTGGGATGCCACGGAGAAACCGGGGAAGCCCCCGGAGGAAAACGCCGTGTTGCCTAGACCACGGCCTTGCCCAACACAAGTTATAAATTCGGGCACCGTCGGGAATCGAACCCGAGCCCCCAGGATTACAAGGCCAACGTTCTAACCGCTAGACCACCGCGGCTATCATTAATTATATATGTGCTCATATTTATTAAGTAATCTCTTCCCATTGGACTTTCAAAAAATTATATACATTTCTTGTCTTTCCTATTAATACAATGCCAGTAACTAACAAACTAAATACGTGGCGCTGGGACATCCTTCAACTGTTTATAGAAAATCGTTCAGTCACTTCTTACAAACTCAAAAATAAAAGTAAATAAGTTATCTGTACGCTTTATTGGCACTGCGCGAAGATGTATGGGGGAGTGGAGGTACAGCTGCATGCAATCTTATCCTTGGTACTAGAACTTCATAACGCAGTCGTTTTACGCCATGGGAAGGAACCCAAGTACCCCCTGGTGAGGCTTCATACACTGGGAGCTGTAAGCCGACCTCTGACCAAGGAGACAAGGATTCAATCCGAGCACGAGTCATATCAAGTCTGTGATGCACAAAATGTTATACAGAATTTGCGGCGAGTGAAAATTGAATTCACACGATGTTTTTAATTCACTGAATTGCCGTGATATGCAAGTGGCGCTGGTATTGAAAGCATTTCCTGTTATGGAACACGCCCAACTTTTTATCTTTAAAAATTGAACACCAGTTCCACACGTCCCAACAAGAATATTTAAAATTCTATGAGCAGTTTCTGAAAGTGAGAACAAATTAAAACAGAGCTAACGCCTTTAGCACTCGGATTAGATTACATGGCATACATCGATGTCGGAGCAAAACTGAACCACACATCTTCTGGATCGTCTAATCATACACAAACCCAGGACTTTACTAAATTACGCATTCTCCACCAGACTGTTAAGAACTGATTAAGGAAGAACTACATTTGAAAAAAAAAATCTTGGAATTTAAGCCAATTTTTGATAATTGATTAGTAATAATAAAAGTATTTTTAACGATGCAATTTTTGATAATTGATTAGTAATAATGAAAGTATTTTTGACGATTGTGTCTTCATGAATGTGACGCAGTGCAGTTTTGTATTTGCTAACCCCCGCTGATTCGGTGAAATGCTTCTGTATCACGAACAAGGTTGGGTTTCATGCGTGGTAAGTCTTCACCCCGTTCTACAGCAACGGAAAGAAAAACTAACTTACAAAAATATGGGCGAAACCTGTTTCCCCGCTGTGTTAGTGACGAAATAAAAAAGGCATAATCCTAGAGATTTTTGCTAATTCACACCTGGGTACAGAATCAAATTAACTCCATGCTTCTGATATGCCTAGAAATTATATATTCTAAACAGAAAGGCAGAAGACAATGCCGAGGAATTACAAAAAACAATAAATTTTCTACCAAATGTGCGTGTTACTAACAGAGAACGGGAAAGTAGTTTATCCACAAAATCCCTCAGTCGCCAGAAAGGGCAACAACTTTGCACAAGTTTCACAGTATTACAAAGGTTTTCTCTTACAAAACATAAAGAAAGTGGTCAGACGAAGAACATGACTGGCGTTAGTAGCAGAGTAGGGCTTACCTGAGAGTGCTTGTGTTAACAGCGGGGTGTTATTGTTCGGGGTCAGCTGCCCGTTTGTTAGGTCCACTGGAAGCACACAGAACAAGCAAAACAAGTCTTATTAGCAATAAGATCACAGTTGTCAATCGGAACTAAAGCAAATGCATGGACACCACAGGAAAATAGATCACAACAGCTGTTCTCAAGTCGTCATCCGCCAGGCTTGTCCATTTTGTTGTTTATAGGTTCTCTGAAGGCATTCCCTTAACACAAGGACGACTGGTTGTTAAGAAAAATCCATGTTTATTTTGGGTAGTAATTTAACCTATGCCCTTGCAGTATTAACACAAACAACGCTGAATACTGAGAGGAAAGAAAATACGGAAACATTTTAATTCAAACACGATGACGTAATGACAGGATGAGATTTGGTTTAAATATCAAAATCATGTTACATCAAAGGCAAACCAATACAAAACGATTACAGAATACTATATCATTACAAAAGTGGAATTTATTGTGAATATAAAATACCATTAAAATAGAACACTACTTATTTATATTTTAAACAATATAAATTTGGATATATAAACGCTTAATAAAGAAGTAAATTTCCAACTCGATTCAAGGCCAGAACGTTTTGTACAATTCTTAATTTCTAATACTGTTACAAGTTATTATGCCACAAAACATAAGAAGAAAAATGAATATCGACGTCCGTGCTTGAGAACGACTGGTCAACGGATAAAGGATCAGTTAAAACAGAAATTGGATAAGAATTTAATACAACAAGTACACTATCCAGGAAAGGTGTCTGGAACAACATAAAAGAAAAAAAAAATATAGGACGAACTGACATTTATCTTGAATCATTGTAATCACTTTTAGAAAGATCGAAATATTATCGATTCGGGCAGTTCGATAAGCTGCATTAGCTATCTAACGCGTTAAGTTCGGAAAAGTTAGAAATAATTTATCAGTGAATCACGAGGATTTATGGCAATGGTTTTTAAGGCTTTGTGTTTGAAGGAAAATTTATAACATATAAATGAAAAATAATTCTATACATAATATTCTACATTAACCAGCGAGAGGTCAAATACCGGAACTATATTTGGACGCTGTAGCAGGAAGTCACTGAATCCGCCAAGAGCTGGATATCTTTCAGAAGAAGTAAGTAGTTTGCTGATAAAACCAGATGTGCACTATATGCGGAATTTCTACTTCCCTTTAATGTCTTATTCAGCGAGAGTATGTATGCAAAATCGAGGGGACAGACGGGTAGCGGGGCCCGCATGGGGGGAGGGGGGGTGAACAAACGGTGTGACGTGTGTGGTTTTCAACTCAACCTCCCTAACAGTAAAGGCAATTTAGGAAACTGTCATAAAACGTACTGGATTATAAAACACTAACGGATTTTTAACTAGTTCACGGTTAACTTATAACCATAAATTGTAAAGGACACGGGAACGATACAATAATTATTAGATGTATTCATATACAATGATTTAACTTCTAACTTGAATTCCAAAATGCATAAGTAACACAAAATGAAGAAGTGAAATAAAATCATGTATCAGCCTGCATGTTGTGTCCCCAAAATCAATTTATATGTGTATTTTGTACTAAAAGTTGCAGGACGATTTTAATTTTGGTTCGTATCGGTCCAATATACCCCTAATTTACATGAGGCTCAACTCGGAATTTATACAGTTTATGAACAAGAAAACAGGGCATAGCGATTAAATATTATGAGTCCACTTTAATATGAAACATTTTCGACGTGTTGCACATTTAAGGGAATCCAAGAAAATTAATGTACCACGAATGCTGTGACCAATAACTCTGTCAGCGAAAGATTTAATGGACTTATAAACCGTTGAAGAATATTTACTATTGAGTAACAGTACTGTGACATTTAAATTTGTATCTGTAATTAATTAACTTCAACAAAATTTGGAAACGTAAAACAGCAAAAACGTATTTTGGAAATTAAGCAGTACTGAAGAACATAATTTGTATCTGTAATTAATTAACATTTGAAAATTTAGAACAGTAAGAAACGTATTTTGGAAATGAAGTACGGGCATATGTTCAAGCTGTAACATAATTTACACCGTCATAAATTCGTAACAAAATACTCCAATTAGATTTGTAGACTATACATAGGGTATATTAATAAGGTGGTTTTTACAGTTTCTTGGAATATCATAAAAGATTAGAAAGTTACTCTCAGCTGTACAACTGACTCATTCTCTTGGCTGCTTACAAAGCAATGAAAGCAAGGGATTATCTTGCTGGAATACACAATATTATTGTGGTAATAAATTTTGAAAACAATATTTAGGCATGGACGGTAATGCTAGAGACGACAACATTCTTTCTAGACTATATAATTCCTTTTTTAAGTTCCATAATACCGAAATACTTCCAGGGAAGTGCCCGCGCACATACAACGAAGTTGCTCCTGAGGGACAAAGGATGGGAGGAAATTTCTCGAACATTCTCCTGTTGACTCCTTCAGCCTGCTTTACACCTCATCGTCTCAACGACCAAAGTTCGAGGGAGAGAGATAGCTGAGCGGTACATTGCCTTTTTTATTTATTTCTTTTGCTCATGGAAGAAGTAGAATAAAGGGGTTGAGGGGAAAACAAAATGGAGGTCTTCTGATCTCAGACACAAATCAAAATTGGAATTAAGTTTCTTCTCAGAAGTAGCAACAGAAAAGGCATTCTACAGTCAATTTTGGACCTATCTCTTGAAAGGAAGTTCCACAAAGAGTCAAAAACAGACAACAAATTTCATACTAACAGAGTACAAAATAATATCTTGTAGCACGAAACGTACTAAAATATTTTTGCATTTACTCATTTTAAAATTCAACGGCCGTTTTAGACTCGCATTAAGAAACCACGAGCTACGTTTTCCTCCATTCGTTTTATAACAGACTGTGAGAAAATGGGACTGAATATCTTCAACAAACTATAATAATCTCTTCAGGAATCAACTTTAAAGTAACAGAATATGTATATCCCAATAACTGTGGCGCTACGAACCCTCTTCAGCTAATACAGTGTTGTAAAATGGTTAAATAACAAATTACTAATTATATTATCTATTTAGACACATTCATTAAAAAAAGCGATACCATATGACAGAACAGCAAACAGAGTTGGGCTGTATAGTCTTCCTGTCCCTTTGCACGATGCAAACAAAGAGAAACAATGTAGGGAGACCATGTTTGTCCGTCAGTTCGTCCACAATTTTCATCACCAAAACAACTCACCGGATTCTGATACAATCTACTATAGCAATTCTACACAACAGTTGTCGGAAGAATTACATAACGCTAATGAAACATTTTTAACATTATTAATATCTGTAAAAGTAAATTACGAAAACAATGTTGCGTTCGGGAACAAGGATTCACAATTTCCTGCGAGTAAATCCACACGATCTGAATTAAAGAAGTGTCGTTAACAGTTTAGGGTCATTTAACTACAAAACGTTTCCGGTACAAACGTATTAATCACCTTGACGTTTCAAACAAGTGAGAACGTGGCATCATCTCGAACATGCGAGTCCTTGTGAAAGGCTACTTTAAAGATAGTCAAAACGTATATTTACTGCGAACAGAATCGTCTCGAAACGCTTTTGATAACAATCAATAATCCTGTATTGTATTTTTAATACTACTCTCGAACCAAAGTAAATATTACGATGATTACACTGAAAAGTGTGATGCTGATAATAAATCACAACTCTCAAAACCATTTGCGATTTCTCGGATCCAACGTTCCACTCACTTAAAAAATCATAGATTCTGATCAGATGAAGTTTTGAAATTCAAGACGACCTTCCGAGGAAAATATTTTTATAAGTACCGAGAAGACGTCACATTGAGACTCTTCTTACTCACGAAGGTACAGAAAAGAATGTAGAACCCCCCCTGCAAAACTATTTTCAACGTACGAAAAAGGTATAAACGTTCGACGTGTCGAATGTTCTAACTCATCCTGCTCCAAACATGACGAGCAAGTCAAAACATAAACGGACTGTCATGGACAACGCTAAATTGCGATGCGAAGTGACAAAACGTACGGAAATGTTTATTGCTTGGACAAGATTAAATAATCAGGAAATTCTACAGTAAAAATAGACAGCTGTGTTGACGTACTGCAAGAAGAAACTACTTCCAGCTGCAACCAATATGGTGGAATAACATCATCTGATCTTTGAGCGCATGTAATTTTCATAATTTCGAAGTGACGTAATACGAATTTTTCAAGTATATATTTTAATATATCCCCGGCGCTGTGGACTCGTTTCTGCCAAAACATATTAACATATTTTAACGAATCTTATGGAATTCGTAAGGCTTTCAAAGTCATTTAAACTGTTCTCGGTAGAAACGTGCAATTTACAGTCCAGTGGCAAACGAGCACAAGAGGACATACAAAGAATGAGAAAAGTTCGACAGTCCGGTGACGTACCTGTAACATATGCTTTGACCCCGTGATCTTCTCCACCCGGGGTGTACAGTTCCGAACGCAACATCATTTGCTGATGATGATTAGTTCGCGGCGGGGCTGAAGTAGCATTACTTTGCTTACGTTGCGTGACGTTGTGTGTCGTGCGATATATCGAGGCGTGCGGGTCGGAATGGTGACGATGCAGTGGGGAGCCGTTTACTGTCTGCTCAGGCCGGGCTGTAACCTGAGGATGGGGCTGATGAGTCGCTGTTGCTGCTACTGGCACGTAGTCGTAGTACGTGCTGCCACGTTCCGGGCCACTGGCGGTCGGAGTACCCGGGGTTGTACCGGATGCGGCAGCGGTGGGATTAGGGAAGTAACTGTAGCCGGGGAATCCTGCGAAAGGACGCACCGAAAATCCAAGAAAACCGTCAGAGAAGAAATGTATAAAGAATCGCGACCAAGGCTCTTCACCAGCAAAGCTTTGGAAATCAAAAATTAACCGTTCCAAACCAGAAAGATCGACTGCCTCAGCGCTGTGGTACTGTGTCACATTTGCACCAAAAGCGAATCAAAAGTTGTTTAAAAGCGAAGTCTGAAGAGAAAATAGCAGCTTGTACTTTTACACACCACGATCTGAACACAAAATTGAGGTAAATTTCTAGAAATTTAGATACCGTAGCGATGTGACATGCTTCACCCGGCTTTCAAACTACAGACACAAAAATACGATTTAGACTCCAGTGATTTCATTCAGTAACAACATAAATACACCATCCCGATTTACTATCAAGCACATGTGACTTTGGAAGGAAAGTATTACTTGTTGTCAATAGTGTCTTAGAGATTTGGACAATCTGTTAATGTTGTTAGTAATGCCTAGCGAAGTAGTGTGAACTCCGAAGTGGGCTCAAATTTGGTATTCACGAGGGAAGGGATAGGTAATTCTGCCGGTCCCAGGCCACACGTTACAACCCTTCACCGTCACCAACACCACGCCAAAACGTCTGTCCGTCTGTCTATCAGCTCAGCAGCAGCAACAGTAGACCAGCATGCAGCAGCCACCACGCCCGAAACGTCGAACTGCCGCGAGCAGTATGTTATATTTTGATCTAATTACAAGTGTTGACCGTGCCTTTTGTTCTGAACAAAGAAAGCACAAAATCTACAAATCGCAGACAATTTTTATGGCAGCCAAAACAAGAAAAACAACACAGACCAGCCAACGACCCAAGAGACACAAACTAGTGATTCTGATTGTTATTGAAATGCTTTCATAAAGTACGTAGAATCCGCTTATAGACGCACAAAGACTGTGGCTTGCATTTTATAAGCGGATTCATTACGTCATGCTAAAGAAATATTCTCCAAAACCGAGGAGAAACAAGAACGTGGATGGGGGAGGATATACTAAGCACAGTTCCCGCCAACACCGAATGCATTTCATAACAAAACGCTCATCTCTTAATGAAAGATGTTTTTTACTTCAGAATTCACTAGAGAAAGCCGATTCAACTCTACCACGATACTGATAACAAAATATTCTACATATAAAAGCACAAATTAAATTAAAGAAGCCATGCAAATCGACCTGAAATTGGTAACAATCACAGATAATGGTTTCGATTCCGCCATTAAGCATGCCTCTCAGATATCTGATCATTCCTTACTGTATGTTTGGATGTCTCTACTGTCCCTTATGCTACTCTACGACTAAATTCCTATACTGATCCACCTAACCACCTGCAGGTTATCATAACAGGTACAACTTAGTTTCGATACAAGAACACGTGTTCGTACACATGTTAGTAAAATGCACATCTCTGCAATGCAAAGCGAATAATGGTTAGAAATCACCTCCCAATTTCCAAGAACGCACAACGGATTTATGTTAGTAGTGTCAGTTGGTTAAGTAATGTTTAACAAATAACCTCTGTTTACTTTGAGAACCAATAGGAATATACGAGGTGTTTGATGTGCTATTAAAAAATTACGTTTAAAAAATCGATGCGCGTGATAAGATCGAATATAACCAAAACATTACGCGCTATGAAGCAAACATGACTAATATTCTAAAGAAAAGAAAACAAGAGCATGTCGAAACAAAAACACTACAGAAATTAAGGAAGCAATCTTAAAGGAACTTGCCAATTACGGTAAGTTGCAATTACACTCAGCTACAAAACGTTTAATTGTAATATCGGCCGATAGAAATGCTAGCAGACAAATTAATGGCTGGTGACGTTACCATAAGGCATATTGTCCTTACAACAATAACACGTCCCACTGCTAATTTTCTCCAGGAATGTTAGATATTATAGATTATTAGCCAACAATATAAAGTAACGAGTGTTTCGTGTTGTCGAAATGAAAACATAAATTACAATACAAAAATTAATTTTGACGTACCAGTAGCATAAATACTTTAATTTGAATTTATAACAAATGCTGACATCTAAAATAAAGTTGATTTAAATGTGTGTATCATTTCGACACAAGTTCACGATGTAGGATCGTTAGCAAGAAATCGGTAGTTACACTAATGACAATCTCGTAACACACAACGACATTCCACTCTAAGTCACTTCATTGCATATCGGCCAATATTATAACTGTACACTGTGCTAGTGGTAAGATAAGCTAAGGTAAGCAAGCATGCTAGTGGTAAGGTGAGGTAAGCAAGCATGCTAGTGGTAAGATAAGATATGGTAAGCATGCACGCTAGTGGTAAGATAAGCCAAGGTAAGCTAGCGTGCTACTGGTAAGTTAAGCTAAGGTAAGTATGCGTGCTACACAGAAGCAAACGACACGGTACTTACTTGGGTAAGAGAGATAAGCTGCTTCATTACCTAACTGTGTGAAGATGCTATAAGTGAAAGATGTTTAATAAAGATGTATTCGCACATAATGATCTAGAAAATACCGCAACAAACGACCGATTCTGGGACGTCCACCCGTCCATGTAAAGTTAATCTGCCAATTATGAAACAATATCAGTTGAAATTAGGAATAATAATACTTACACAACATACCTAGTATACCTAAGTTATACATAATTCTTGTGAAAATATTAAATTCGTTTTTTTAAATACACGAATTTTACATGTATTTTCAGTAGATAAAATTAATGACTTTAAAAACAAATTATGTTGAGCGCGGGGAATTTTATTCCGTAAACCAATGATCCTATTGTGTGCCAGGAATTACATTTGTAATGGAGACGGCTACATTTGCAGCTCAAGCCTCGAAGTTACAGAGTAATATGCAATGCACAGATTTAATTTAAAAACCAAATAGCAAATATTTTGCTTGTGCGAGAGTTTGAATACGACCAGAATGCTGAGCGCATCGTGGTGTGGGCTCCCTGGGACCCGGTGTTTGTCGGTGATAAATGGGCGGAAGCTCCCCCTCCCCCGTGCGTGTTCTGGGGCGAGGCATGGCCACCCTACTCCACCCAACACATCCATCAAAATTGAGGGTTCAGGCCCAGTGTTTTACATTCTCTGATTTCGGACCAAGTTTCAAAATTAGTGACGAATGGCGTTTAATTTAGTTTTACATTTCGTTCGTTTTCCACGTCAAAATTTTGCACAAATGATACGGGGATATGTATTTAAAATCAGGTGGTGCGTTAGAAACGTTTCGGGTGGCTCGATGATTATTTAAGGATACGGTATCAACTGCGGACATTTTGTGTCTGAGTACAAGCAGGGATAGCAGAATTCATGGACTATTGCAAAATGAAACTGAAAAAATCGACGGGAAGACAAAAAATAATTTCAGGACAGGAAGTGGTCCAGCAAAAATCTGAACCATCCACCACTAACTGCTGTGCTAACCTATCCGTAACCATGGTCGTAAATTGACTGCGAAAGACAACTTCGAAATGTTTTAACGCAGACAATTTTTGGTGGACTAAGAAAACAACTAATGCTTTACAGAATCTCGAATACGAAGGTCATGAGGGTCTCACCTTAGTTTACACCTTAGAGTATAATTTAATTCTTTGTTGTTCGTATGATATATTTCAATGGGTAGAAAATATTCGCTCCTTCTAGTAAATTTAAAAAAAAGCGCAGGCTATGTTTTTACAGAATCCTAATCTCCAAAACAAGACTAATTTTAAGATTTTTGATAGATTTTCTGCATTTAAGAAATTCTACAGATGCGTGCGTCTAAAGAATATCTAAACGTATTATTTACTGCAGCCCGAAATATTGTAAACCGTAAGCATTGTCATGTGCCTCGGAGGATGTCTAAAATTGTATATTTCTTACGCGTATTCGTAGTATTTTAAAACCTACACCAGGTTCACGTTCTTATAGTGTTTCAAACCTGATACAAAATCCTAAACGTCGAAAAAGGTTTAAAAACTGAACATTTCATCTCCGGACTACATAGCAGCGCGTCATTCTATTTGCAAATTTAAACTGTACTTCATCACTCTGTGTAATTTCCGTTGGTATGTGTTTCAATCCAAGTTACATCATGATGGTAGCTACATACAGAGTTAAAGGAAAATTAAAAATAAAAATAAAAGCATTATTAATGTGAAGTACAAATCAGCTTTTTTGTGCTCCATGAGAAATATTAATATATTAATACCAAATATATTTAAATATTTCGATAAAACGCCACAGTTTTGCATTTTGTAATCCATACATGTATCTGCCGAAAAACGTAAATTTCGTTTCGAATGAATGTAATGGCAGACGTATTTGGATGAGGTAAATTTAAAGACATACAAGGTTATTTTTAGGCATGACGTTTCATTTTACGAAAATGTATGCTATAAGGAGATAATATTCGGAGGGGATCACTGTTATAAATTATTTCATTAACTTCTTTATAAATAGCAATTTAAACTGACTGCATAACATTTTAGAACATACACAAGAAACACGGTGGATAAACACAACATGAAATCGAAATGTGTATTAATATGTACTGAAGGGATGTGGTATAGAAACTTTCCATCCAAAGCTGCTCAGATACATTACTTCACTACGAACAAGCACCACAAAACTCCCTCTAGTGTGCTATAAAAGAAAAACATGAGTTGTTAGTCCAAAATCACTGGATGCTGGAAACTTTGCTGGAGAAGAAATATCAGTTAGTATTACGAGCTTGACTGCATTAGAGAGCTATTGCAGATTATGCCCATCGATGTCATTTAGAAGGAACAACAATTATTAAGACAGAAAAGGAATGACAGTACAAAATTACCACGAATAGTTAATAATAATCAACACTAAAACACGTAGCCTACACTAAAATTACTAAGCACTAAATGCACTAACAAGTACTAAACCAATGCGTTCTACAGAGTAGGTCCCGGGGGAGAAGACCCAAAGAATATGAATGCCCACTTTCGTGAGATCGTAGATATGTCATAT